AAAACTTATATAAATGGTGTGAATGCATGCATTTGGAAGCACCCATTTTGATTTAGGTAACCCAGATCAGAAAGACAAAAGCTGCATGTTTTCTTTTTAAAAAAACATTTATTAATTTATTATGTATACAGTGTTCTGTCTGACTGTATGTTTGCAGGACAGTACCAGATCTCATTATAGATGGTTCTGAGCCACCAACATGGTTGCTGGGAATTGAACTCAGAACCTCAGGAAGAGCAGTCAGAGCTCTTAACTTCTGAGCTATCTCTCCAACCCAAGATGCATGTTTTCTTTCAATTGTGGATATTATGTCTGAATCTACTGATATGTGCATCTCATTTAGAGGAGAAGCAATCAGTAAGGTGGCATGGGATAGTATCACAAGACAGAAGACATAACACATTAATCTAAAGAAGCAAAGGGAGATAGAAAATGATTGGTTAAATGAAGTTGGAAGTTAGAGAAAATGATAAAGGAAGCAATAACTAACAAGAAAGACATTCTGAAAACGTCATAGGAAATACTGCTACTGCTGGAGAAGTTTCCTACAATACGGTAATGCATGTGTAAAAAGAACTTAAATGTAGTTACCTTATAGAGGAGCACAATACCATTCATAGCTGCCATAGACCAACAAATAGGAAGTCAAATGTCAGGAATAGTTTACCTCTACTGAGGTTGTTGGTCAGGGAGGTTCCACAGACACCCCTTCCAATATTACAGATTATTTTACAATGTTCTTAGTTACCTTCCATAATTTAACATGAGACAATATTACAGAAGACATCATATGCTTGAGTTATAGAACATGAATAAACCAAGCTATGTTGACCTGGAAATTTAAACTCTACTGGCCAGTTTTCATTGTACTAGAAATTGCTATATATGCTTTTGGAAGAGAAACATGATTATTAATCTTATTCAGCTGTGAACCGTATGAGCTACAATAATAATCTGCTTGACAAGATATGCCCACTGATGCAATAATAGAACAAATGTTATGGGAGTGGTCACACTCTTTCTGATTGAATTTCTGATGTGCTCCACAAAATGTCATCTATGCCTAGCTTTGTAAGGAAATAGTTCTTGTGATAGATAGTTCATGGGACTAGGGGAAACCCTATTACTATTACTCTTAAACCAATTCCTATTGACTTTTTTTAAACATGCAGATTATTGCATCTCAAATTATGTGTCCTTTTTTGCAATAGACAGCAGTAATCAGAGACCCACAACTCATAAAGATACAGAGAATAAGCAATTGCAGAGTATCTCACACATACACATACACACACACACACACACACACACACACACACACACACACACAAAACCCACTAAATGTGACAGTTATGCTGCTCTCTGATCATTGTGGAAGAGGGGATGGAAAGACCAGAAGAGTGGGAGGCTGTAGAGGATGACAAGGACATGGTGTTTCTCAGACACGAAGGGCTAATGATATATGGACTCACAGCTGTTGTAGTATTATACGCAAGATCTATGAAAGCTCAGCAAGACCAAATGCCAGCATGGATAGGGAAGGAGGGCATGAAATTCCAATCCTCTAGCTAAAGAGCTGTCATAAATTTATATCTCCCAAGAAAGGGAATGCTATTTTTCTTTAAGGTGTAGTCACTAAGAGGTCTAACACACTTTAGTGAATAGTCACATATTTATATTGGCAGCACTAATAGGCCTCATTGATTTTTGCAAAATTAAAAAAGGAATAACAATCTTAAGCTCTGAAAGAAAAAGAACATTGTTTGCTTATTACTATAGTCCCAGAGCCTAGATTTTGTATAAATGCGTACTTTCTATAAATGAAAATTATTGTAATGAATATGAAATGGATATAAAAATTTTACCTGGTAAGGCCTACTGCCTTCCAAATCAATGAAGCATTTCATTTGCTGAAAAATTATTTCACCAGACAAAAACATATGAGCAAAACAAACATTTATGAGACAATCAATTTCTACCAGTCCTTTCATATTATAAAATATATTCATCAAATATGCCTCAAGACGAAAGGTAACTGACAATTTACAGAATATAGACAGCCCTTTCTATTTGACCCTTGTCTTATGCCAGCATCACCTTTGCTGGAAGGATGTTTTCAAATTCTGACTGTGCAAAAATTTCTCACCTGATGGCAAACAGCCAAACGCTTTCTTTCCCTTCGTGGCCACAAACAGATGGCTCATGGTTGAGTTGCTAATAAATCACAATTTACATGTGCGAGAATCCAACCACAAAGTGTTCAGTTGTGCTTATAATCCGTCCACTACTGCCAACAAGAGTTATTTAATCAAAACTTTTGAGTGATTGAGCATTCATATGCTACTTTATTTCTTTTTTCTAAGTTGCACATGTTGATATGAACTCTTTTATATGTTAGCCGTGGTTGCCCATAAGAAAAACAAATGAATTTTATATTTGTGTATAAAGACATATGTTCACATATACAAAAGGTGCAAGAGGAAGGTAGCAAGGGAGAGAGAGAATGGAAGGAAGAGGGAGGAGAGTGTGATGGAGAGAGAGAAACAGAAAAAGAGAAAGAAATGGAGGAGAAGGAGGAAAAAAAAGGAAGATTGACTGACTGACTGACTACTAAAATACTATAGAAGTTTTGCCAGTACAAATTCTGAGCTGGGAAGCCAGCAGGCTATGCAATCAGGGAATGTTTGCAGCATAAAAAGGCATCCTTTATGAGCCAAAGATGTGCCCGTGTTGCAGCTGAAGTCAACAGCAGTGTACCAGGTACCCCTACTGCTTAAGACTGCCAGACTTTGTTCTTTCCAAGACTCAAGGAGATTGAGTGACTCTCGCCAGCATGGCAAAGGATAGAGTCCTTCAGAAAAGCTCAAAAATTTAAGTGTAAATTGCATTCATAAGCACATTCACTGAAACATCCAGAGTAAGCCTCAACCTTATTTGGGCTCCAGGTCATAGAAAAAGCAGCACATGGAATTAGCCATGCTTTGGTTTGCCTGGTTTTCTTTTTTAATGTTTGTTTCTCCTTCCTATGTTCCAATATTCTTAGATCTTGAAATCATTACCATTCCCATAGAACTCCTGTAATAACATGGAAAGTCCCAATCTCATTTACATATTTCTCTCTAACTTTCTGGTCTACCTCTTTACCGCAATGAAGATAAGCTAGCTACCTGTCGTTGATTGATTTACTATGTTGACAGATTCTGTAAATATGAACTCACATCAAAGCTATCAGTCTAAATTGTTTGTATACCAAAGGCAATATTTCTCACATGAACAAATGAGAAAACTGAAAATCCCTCTAAGGAAGCTCATTACAAATAAAGAACTAACTGGCTTATTGGAATAAACAAAGCTCACAGTTGCGAAACAAGCTTATTATTACAGTGGTGACTATTTTAAGCCTTAAAAGGATTGCTAGTTATTTTCAGTAATAACTACTTTTTAATTGTATTTTAAACTTCATATATATGTAGTGTATTTATATCATATTTATATCAGCTCTTCCTCTGATTCCTCAAGCACCTCCTACTAGTGATACTTACTATTACTCTATATTAAATATATGTATATTCTTACATCTGTATGTATACGTATATCCTATGGAATCCATTTAGGACTGCTTAAATTTATATGATTTTAGGGTTCTCCATATGCTATTGGGTTATATGGTTAAATGTTCATCCTGGAGGAATACCAACTCTTCCTCTTTCAAGCAGTCATTAATGCCTGTAGATTTCATCTAGATGTGGGTCTTTATTAGAGTTCTGCATCTTCATTGCATGTAAACTGAATGGCAGTTGAAATGCCCAGAATGTTGTTAAGCAATTGTGCTTGTGTTATGATTGAATATTCTTTGGGCATATACCCAAGAGTGATATCGCAGGGTCTTGAGGTAGAATGATTCCCCAGCTAAGACTCCTAGCCATAGTAAAAAGGGTGCCTGGACTGCCCTTCCCCTTTTATTAGATTGTAGAATACTCCACTATCATTATAGACTCTTCATCTAGTAACTAATGGAAACAGATGCAGAGATCCGCAGCCAAGCACCAGTTTGAGCTCTGGGAATCCAGTGAAGAGAGAGAGGGGGGAAGAAATATATGAGCAAGGTAGGGTCAAGGTCATGATGGAGAAATCTACAGAGACAGCACATGAACTCTAGACCAGCAGCTGTGGAGCCTCCATGGCATTGACCTAGATAGTCGTGAAGTTTGGACTATTTGAGGGGCCCCTGGAAGTAGGACCAAGATTTATCCCTGGTGAATGAGATAGTTTGTTGGAACTCATTCCCTGTGGTGGGATGCCATGCTTAACCTTAAGGCAGAAAGGAGGAGCTTGGTCCTGCCCCAACTTACTTAATGTTCCAGACTTTGTTGATTCCCTGGGAGCTCTTACCTGTGAAAAGGGAGTGGACTGGAGGGGAGGCTAGGGGAAGCAGCAGGAGGGGTGGAAGGGAAAACTGGTTGCAATGTAAAATAAAGAAACAAAAACAGATAAAGGGAAAAATAAAAAGAAAAGAAAATGCCAAGAATGGAGCTGACCACTCAGCTGGTTACCTTGCGTGCTGTAAGGAAAGCTAAGCAAGCCACGGACACCAAGTCAGTAAGCAAAACTCCTCCATTTTTTTCTGTTTCATTTTCTGCCTCCAGGTTTCTCTCTTGAGTTCCTGCCTTAATGCCCTTCAATGATGGAGTGTAAGAGAAAATTAACCTATTCTTCCCAAAGTCGTCATGGATCACAGCAATATACCGCAAATGAGGGCGGTGCTCAATATGAAAATTAAACCTTCAGTTTTAAGTTTTTTATTTCTTGAATACCCGAGAAAAATACTTTCTGCCCTCCCCACCCAGTGTGTGTGTGTGTGTGTGTGTGTGTGTGTGTGTGTGTAGTAATGATGATTAATCTTCTTCATGCATCTTTGCATAGCAGTCAACTCTATTCAAACTGTATAAAATCCCTTTTATGAAGACTTTGCTAACATCGCTTCTTGCCACTTTCCCTAGGAATGCCCCAGTGGTGTTGTTAATGAAGAAACCTTCAAGGAGATTTACTCGCAGTTCTTTCCGCAGGGAGGTAAGTACAAATGTGGACTTGTTAACATATTCACAGCTAGAGTTATGCATGCAATCTTGAGTTTGGTTTAATCTTTCATAGCGTGGCTCTACATTTTTAATCTTTGTGTAAAAGAATTAATGCACAGCATAGAAGCTCACAGAATTTTAAGTGCATTATAAAAATAAGCTGCATTCAAATCATTGAATCTCTAAAAGACTATTTCTCAGTTTAATCAGAGTGATGCTCTGTGGCCAGCACGTTGATTCTCCCATACACACTGCTTTCTGACCTTTATAAGGAGGCCTCAAAATGGCTTTAGGCTCTACCAAGCGCACTGTGGTACTCATTTGATTTTTCTCAGCTCTCAAAATTAGGGCAAATGCAATTACCTTCAATTTACAGATGTGAAATCTGGGGCTTAGCGAAGTTAAATGATTCGATTAGGGTCACACATCAACTCAGTGGCAGATCTGGGTTATAACCTAAATTTCTGTGTGTGTAGCTCTAGCCAGTGTGCTTTCTGTTATCTCCCTTTCTTTCCAGTAACTTCTTTCTCTAACCTTCCACCTGAGAAAATTAATAAAAATCTAGCTATGATTTTAGGTGTAATAAAGCTCAGCATAGGATAATGGTGCTGCCTACGTGTTAGAGACGAGTGGAGAGAGGCATATGCTACCATGTCCTCTCTAATTTGTCATTGAGACCGGTGTGATGCCCAGCTACACGTGAGGAGAAACCAGAGTGAAAGGATGTGGCCACTCTTCAAATATAGGATTCTATAGTCTCCTTAGCAAAAGGACAATATAAAGCAAAGTCAACATAAAGTATGGCTTGTAAGATGTGGAGTTAAAAATAGTACTATATGAACCAGCTTCAGCCGTAATTAGATGTTCTGCTGAATCATGAGCAATTAAAAAGTGTCTAATATATGCCTAGCTTCTAGGAATGCCTTATCCTTCACCACTCAGTTCCTTTTCTTGTGATTTTTTTCCTCTTAATATGGAAATTAATGTTCAGGGAACAAATTTACGTCTGGAGTACAAATGTGAGTCACCCGTGGCCTCCCTGTCCTCTCAGGAGTTTTCCTGCTTAGGATGATGTCTTTCAGCTTTAGAGGGCAGCAGAGATCCCTGAGTCTAGGTAAACAAAGTGTAAACAAAGAGACAGCATGCAAACAAATCTGATCATTTGTGATAAACTGAATGGATTTTAATAATTGAGTGTGTTGTATGGTAAGAAAAAAAAGAAAGAGAAAGCATTGGTAATAATATCCAGAAGTCTGTCATGATTATCAGGTAATTTGCTATAAGAAAACTTGTCAACTTGGGCCAAATTACATTTAAGTAGCCTGTGAGCATTTAGTATCAAGAAATAAGGAAAAATATGAAGGTCAAAAGTCAGAGAAAATGACAGAGACGTGAAGATTATTGACAACAAAGTAGTGAGTTAACCCATGTTGATGTTACTTGGAACAGTGTGTTCACAAAATTGGAAAGCCTCATGAGTCAAACAAGGGGACTTGGGAGGAAATAAATCCATGAAGGACACAGGATGGACATAGAAATAAGTACAAGGAAAATTAACAATTCAGAAGGTAAGAAAATGGAGACGTTAAATTCAGTATCTTCCAGGAAGGTAAGGATCTGAATCCATCCTCAGGACACAGCAGCATGAAGGACATGGAAGTCGTGGCTGAGTTTGATCTGAGCAACTTTCATAAAGGGAGTCAGGTGTAGAAAATACCCCAGCTGCAGGGGCTAAGGGGTAAATGGGAAGTATGCAGACTATGGCAACCAGCAGAGGAAGTACTTGAGTACAACTAGTCGGAGAATGGCAAGAGGTATAGAGAAACCAGGCAGATATGGAGGACGAGCTCCTTTTTTAATCATAACAGAGGCTGAAACCTTACATACAGAAAAGGGATTATGCAAAGAGAGTACTTTAGTAGCTTAATACAGCGGGCTTATAACACGTAGCATTCCATGCTACAGGAAATAGTGATAGAATAGACCCTAGGACATAAATTAGAGTCTAGGAAAATTTCACAGGACTGAGCGTTTTAGTTCTGAAATTTGTTCTACACAGGAGGCATCTACTGCTTCTCCCTGTGCTGTGGCCTCAGTAGACTTTACCGATTACCTGGCTGTAACCTTTCTAAGGCACTTATCACTGAACCCAGCAAAACATAACAATAGCATCTGCCAGAGGAAGTTCAACAGTCTCTGAGCGGGCCTCTCTGGCTGGGCTGCTTCTTCCCCTGACCATGGTCAATTTTCAAAATAAGTCAGTTACCCTGTTAAAATATAGGCCCCCTCATGCCACAGTTCTGAAAGCTTCCGAAATACAAATTATGTATCACAGCATGCATAATTGTCCCGGCCTCTGATGGTCCTGCTCTTCTTCCTGTCCTCCCTCCTCTCTCCCTTCCCTCCCTCCATCTTCCTCCTCTTCCTGCTCTCTCCCTTCCCTCCATCTCTCTGTCTTATCCTTCCACAATCTCTATGACTCATTCTGTTTTAGCCATGCGACTTCCTTGATAAACAACCAAAACAGCAGACATTGTGAATTCTGAGATCTTGAACACACTAGTCCCTGTCCCCAGGAATCATTTTGTTACAGTCCACATCTCTAATTCTTACCATGCCTTGCTTTCTTTATTGAAAAAATATTATGTTTCACACAATATATTCTGATCATGCTTTTATCCCCACAACTCCTCCCAGATCCTCTCCACCTCTCCAGCCACCTAATTACACACTCTTCTTTCTCTGTGTCTTCAGAAAACAAACAAACAAGCAAGCAAGCAAAAATGGAAACATTTTCTGACCATTTAACCTTAAAAATATAACCCTGAATTCTTCCCCATGGCTCTCCTCTGACTTCCATTTCTTTCCATTATTAAAGATTCCCAAATAACTAACATTTTTCTTCCTTGTTACGGTTGGCTGTCTTTCACACCATGAGGAAGTCAACTCCAAAGGAAGAGAACGGGTTTTGTTCGTCATTTTATTCACTGTGTTCACAGATCACTGAACAATGAATAATAGCACTTGGGACATGTTTACTGCATATGAGTAATGTGTGAATGAAGGAAGGACTGAGGAAATGATGGGATGAAGATCATGCTAGTTATGAGATTGTAAGAGAAAACCAAATCTACCATATTAAGCCAAATTTGGACCAAGCTTTAATTAAATATTAAATACTGACCAGGTAGATCAACTCTGGCTAGGTCTACTCTCTGGAATTCGCAGCTGAGTGGCCCTGAAACATATATTGTAAGGCTTTTTAAAAGACAAACCCATAGAGACACCATTGTTTCTCATCTGGCTTACCTATTGTTTTCCAAGAATGGCAACTCATAGCATCCCAGGATTTTATCTGAACCCTGAGCAGGACAGGGTTACAGGTTAGCTTTTGGGTCTTATACCCGTGCCCCCTGCCTACCTTGATTTGTATCCTGGATCAAATCCTTGTGATGAGTACTTGTTTATATTTGGATCTAACAACCATCAGCTCAATGGAACCCAGATAGGAATTATCATCTAGTTGAGGCATCAACATTATAAGATCCAACAATATTTAGCAGAAGAAGGGCCAAAGGTCCTGTGATGATTAACATTACAGTTACTAAAAGAAGGAGCCTGGAAATGGGCACCAGTCATTTATTTTTTATCTCAGTTTCCCTTTTTGCAAAATTTCTTTGAGTACAACCAGATTATAATCATGAATGGTTTGTCTATGGATAACAATTTTTCTTTAAAGCCATACAATACCTCTTTGTTCCACATAAAGCTGGCCAATGCCCTTTCACACTGCAGAACTATTTCAGTTAATGAATCTACTTATAGATAAACCTGAGACCACTTTTCTGGTATGCCAATTGGCATTATAGGTAGCCATTTTGTCTCCTATGGCAGGAAATTTTCTTTTGACGTAGCATTTCAACCTGTTTGGGGGAAGCAAGAGATGATATACTCTCTTCTGTAAATACTTCCAGCTGAAACTAGGGCATCACTGTCAGAGACCAGCAAGGCTGAAAGACTAGCCAAAGGCTAGGCAATGGGGCATTCATTAGAAGAATCTGGTTAGCTACCCAGCTGAAAAGACAGGGAGCAATCATATCAGCTAAACTGGTTTACATCGGCTTTCAGCAAGTCCAGCGCTCAGCAGTTTGCAGTCCAGAGATGATCGCTGGATGGTGTCAACCATGTGGAAATATGCTTGGCCAAATATAGGCCAGGGACAGGAGTTAAAATTTAGGAACTTAAAGGGAAACCTTATATTCATAACTTTCAGCCCTACAGTCCTAGTAATTGGGGAATGGAAAGAGTCTCAAGGCAAGGGGAGGAATCCCATTCTCAGGAAAAGACAGGGGCAGGAACATAGGCTATACTCATCTAGAGTACACTTGATCTGTGGGATGTGAATCCAAGTCTTACCACCCCTTTGTCTCCCGAAGCTTACTGAAATCCACATTATAAAAAGCATAAACACCTTTTCATCTCTCTAGAAAGCCAAATATATAGATTGAACAGAGATTTTAGCCCAATATAAGCACCTTTAAGTTTATACTTGGAAGATAACCAAAGTAAACTTAAAATCTTGAGCTTGTGACCAAATAGTAAATAGTCAGTGCTCCATCCGCTTATCAGAACTCCATTGACCAATGTTAAAATTCTAAACCTGAGAGAGGCAGGGATGGGAGCAGAGAAAAATGTAGAATTCAATAAAAAAATCAATAAAAAATTCTAAACCTTTGAAATCTCAGTGTAACAATAGCATAGAAATTTAAAATATCCCTTACTCTTTATATATCTTAAATCATTTTTATAACTTTACAACTTATATTTATATATCTTAAATCATTTTCTGAGACCTTCAGAACTTATTTAAGCTTTTATATCCTTAGACTTTTATATACCTTAGAAGAGCGTCAAGACTATGCGGTAAACACTAAAAACTGACCCAATGCCTTGTCTGCTGCCAAGACCTAATTTAAGCTGTTAACAAGCAAG